AGCGTACATTGACATTGAAATTCCAGAGATATTCAAGCTAGATTCAGATGAGGACATGGAATGATGTATATCATTGCTGATGTCAGATGGATCTTTGCTGCAAGAAGAGAATACCATAAAAATGTTTACCTGTGTTTTATTGACTATACAAAGTTTTTCAACTGTGTGGATCATGAAAAGCTATAGAAAATATTGTGGAGAATGAGTATACCAGAACATTTCATTGTGTTCACGAGCAACCTGTCCATATACCCTGAGGCAGTCATTCGAAAAGAACAAGGGGACATGAATGTTTTAAAATCAGGAAAGATGTGTCCCAGGGTTATATTCTTTCACTATATTTATTCAATCTGTATGTTGAGCAAATAACCTGAGAATCTAGGGTCTATGAAGATCAACATGCCATCTGGATTGGAGGACAGCTCATTAATCTACTATATGAAGATAACACAACCTTGTTTGCTGAAAGTGAAGATGACTCAAAATATTTATAGATAAAGACCACAAGCCTCCAGTATGGGTTGCACCTCAAACATCCTCACTAGTGGACTAATAAATAACATCATGATAAATGGAGAAAAGATTGAAGTTGTTAAAGACTTCATTTTGCTTCCATCCTGGAGTCCTGGTGTGGCACTTTGGTTTAGTGTGCTGTACTGCAAGGTTGGTGGTCCAAGCTCCCTCAGAAACCCTATTCAGGATTGCTATGATTGGAACTGACTTGAAGGCACTAAACAACTTAACAACAACAGCATCATCCACATTCATGGAAGAAGCAGTCAAAAAATCAAATGACGTATTGCATTCACAAATCTGCTTCACAAGACCTCTTTAGAGTGTTCATAAACAGAAATACCAATTTGAGGCCTGACCCAAGCCATGGTATTTTCAATATGCATGTGAAAGTTGAACAATGAGTAAGGAGGGCCATAGAAGAAACATTGATGCATTTGAATTGTGGTGTTGGAGGGGAATATTAAAAATACCATGGACTGCCCGAAAAAAAACCCCAAATCTGTGTTGGAAGAAGTACAGCCAAAATGCTGCTTACAAACCAGTATGGGGAGATTTTATCTCGAGGGGCCAGTCCCTGGAGAAGGACATCATACTTCATAAAGTGGAGGGTCAACAAAAAAGAGGATGACTCTCAACAAGATGGACTAGCACAGTGGCAGCAGCAATGGGCTCAAGCCTAACAATGATTGTGAGGCTGGCGCAGGACTGGGCAGTGTTTCGTTCTGTTATGCATCGAGTCTCTATGGGTCGGGACTGGCTTGATGACACCTACCAACAACAATAAAGCACGGTTTGTGTCTTCTTGGAAATGAATATTAAAATAGAATAAATATTAGTTATTACATTTTATCATAAATTCATGTCAATTTTGGTTTGGAGTGTTGATGAAATATAATACTGTAAAATAGGAAGAAGATTATCTTAATTTTTCCTACCCTGAAAGAAAAATATGCATGTCTTTTGTTATTTAGTTTTAAAGTTATGACTGTCACCCCAAATACTGGTAGTATGCTGACATCAACTATATGATTAGGTAGGGAAGTAGAAAGATGAATGGGTTTTTTAATTTATTTACTTTGTTTTGAAACAAATCTCTATATAAATGAACCTTCTGTAGAAAGTAATCACACTGGCATTAATCCCTTAATAGTTTATAAAGTTAGTCTTTCATATATTGTGTTCTAGCAAAAGAGAAAAACCCTGTAACATGTGCACATTGCTATTTGGAAAAACATCAAGTCAAAAAATCCCTCCCCCCCCCAATAAAAAAGTAGATGCTTGTATTTTTCTTGTTTTAGTATAATTTAAATACTACAACAATAATTTCTCTTTTTTTTGGATTATGATGAAAATACTTATCAAAATCCCATATTGTTAAGCCAATTTTATAGACATTTCAATACCCGAAAAGACCAGCAATATTGACACTAGTATATAAAGTAAGCAGGCATCTGATTCTATAAAATTGCTGAATTGAAAATACAAAGAAACATTACTTGCCCTCATTCCCAAATAGACAGGCTTCTTTGGGAGACATTTCATTTACTTTGTTGTAAGACTTGACTGTCTTCCTCAATTTGCTTTGCATTTTCTCCTTCTCAACATGCTTAGCATTCAGACCAGCTTTTATCCATACTCTCCAAAGCTTTGAAAATCAACATAAATTATATTCTCTTAAGAAGTCTAATGAGCGACCTGCATAATAGAGGCTGCGGGATTAATTGCTTGGCCATCATTTATGTTTTTAGGGATTCCCAATCATGGTTATTTTAGAGGTATACTATGCTAAGGGACAAAGCTCAGAAGTAAAAAATAAAATTCAAATGATAGTGGTAATGTAACTGACTTACTTGAGGGGGTCTTCGCTCCTTGACATATAAACATGAAATTTTATATTTTGGTGCCTGTTATCAAATATGGTTGGTCAAAGCCCTATTCTTATTGGAGAGCTTCATTATTGACTCAAACCAAAATTAAACCCATTGCTACTGAGTTGACGTTGACTCATGGCAACCCTAGAG